AAATTAATGGAGAGTTAAGCGAGCGTCGAGTGGCGTGGCTCCCTTCATTTACTCCTCCCATTTGCCCCACTGTCCTTCTTCGTCTATAAATCACCCTCCGCCTCTTCTTCTTCCTCCCCACTTCTCTTCACGCAAAAAACACCCTTTCCTCTGCCTCTCTCACCGCCTACAATGCCTGATTTCTACTCCTCTGTTAAGCTCAAGTATGTCAAGCTTGGCTACCAATACCTAGTCAATCACATTCTTACTCTTACTCTTGTCCCCATCACGGCCGGTGTTGTCATCGAAGTTATTCGGTTAGGTCCCCACGAGATTGTTAACCTATGGACTTCCCTTCACTTGGATTTCGTTCAAATCCTGTGTTCTTCTTTCTTCATCATCTTCGTCGCCACCGTTTATTTCATGTCCAAGGCTAGAAGCATTTCAATTACTCGATTCAATAATTGGTAATAATTAATCTGATTAATAATTAGAGCCTTATTTTAAGTTTAATCCCTTAGCTTTAGACTTTTCACATTCTAGCCCTTAAACTTTAATTAGATTTTCCAATAGACATAATTGATTAGATTAACAACTAGAGCCATGACACAAGATTTAATTTCAATATAGTCCTTTAATTCGGGGTGATTCGATTTGGGCTTTCTCATAAAAATGCCCAATTACTCAAATCAATTATTCGTTCCATAATTGGTTAAAATCAGTTAGGATTAATATTAGAGATTTCATTTTAGGTTTAGTCCCCTAGATTCTTTAATTTTCATAAATTGACACTTTAAGTTAGGAAATCATTTAATAAACTCACTTAGTATACTTAGGTTCATAAACTTGTTGATTAATTGCATTTCTTTTTCAAACACAAGAAATTGTTGACTTATTAAGGAATTAATGGTATAGTTCTCGCAATCATGCTCTATAGGTGACTACTAGTAATTCCTGAAGTAGGTCAACATCCTTTTAAAACCCCTTCATTTTTGAAATATCGAGGCAATGTCTGGTTATTAGGCACAATAATTGATCTCTCACATTCATGTTAGGGGTGAATATTATTGGCTTTAATAAACATACACCATATTTAACTTTGCATCCATAATGACTTTTGAATTAAATAAATCTTCGAACTCCAATTTTTCAAATTTTCAAATAGAGTAATCATCTAGGTACCAATTTATGGGCGTGTGGGGTGCTAAACCTTCCCCGCACGTAACTGACTCCCGAACCTGTTTTATGATTTTCGTAGACCCTAAACTTAGTGTTTTGATAAAAATAAAATGATTTATTAAATTACCAAATATTTTATGGTGTTCCAAGGCTACTCCCAACATTTCATAAAATCATTTCAAAATCATTTTAAAAACCCCATCATTGCAACTTGTCGGTCTTTTCTCCAAGGGGCCGGTTGCGACAATAATTTAATATATATCTTTAATTAATCAAATAATATTTCATCTTACACAGTGGCAGATGTATATAGAACCCAGGGTAGGCATGTTCCCACCTTAGAATTCAAGTTTTTTTTATGTTTGTTGTTCATTTTAATTAAGGTGTTCATCCTGAAATTTTATTTGTGTCAACTCATACGAATTTTTTTATTAATACATATGTGTCCACCCTAAAAAATATTTTCGGTTCGGCCTTTGATATTATAATACTATTTATGTGCTTAGATTTTTCCATTTTTTTCTAATAAAATGTCGAGTGCAATACCCAGCTAAACCCTGTGTTTTTAACACGCAACTGGTAAACCTTGCCGGTCATAAGCTAAGTGTTCCCTTGTAACAGAAATTATATCACACAAATTTGGTTGATTTACACTTAGGTTATAAATATTCATATACCTTTCTTATAAACGACCATATTTCGAGGGATGAACAATGAAGCTTACGGAAACTAAAACAAAAATGGCACCTGATGATCATTTGAGCCCCACGACGGGCCTCAACGGGCGTCGGATCCGGGAGCACGCGTTGGCGTGCTTGAAATGGATAATGTCACGGGTGTTCACGGTGTTACTAAGTGCGACGGCGATCGTGCTCCGGTGGTCATTCTCTAAAGCCTCAAACGCATGTCGCCTTTGCGGACCTTGCTGTGGGAAATTGACGTGTTGTTGCATCCGGCGTTGGATTCGGAAGGTCGCGATGCCGTGCTTGATATGGATGATATCGCAGCTTTTCAGGGTGTTACGGAGGATGACGAAGATTACGCTCCGGTGGTCTTTCTTTAAAGTCTCGAACGCAGCTTTTAACGGAAGTTGGAAATATGCGTTGTTCATGTTTACGGCGGCAGTGCGGCTGATGCGACTGGCCGGTGAAAAAATTAATTAGCTTTCGATAAGCTTTTAAAGAGCTATGCTTATGGAGTTTGTCCGGCTAAATCTACGAGATAATATGTTAGAATTATTTATTTCACGAGATAATGCTATCTCCATATTATTTATTGAGATAGGATGAAATTCACAGTACAACCGTAGGTCGCCATACCGTCCTCGCGAGTTGTTGAAGGTCGCCATGCATGCATGGTTGGAGGTCGCCATGCAATCTAACCAAGCAAGGTCGCCATGTGATTGATGCGACCAAGCTGATAAGAAAGAAATAATGAGAGTTGTGTGGCCCAAGTGTTGTAAAGTTGGTTTCACCTACGTTTGTTTTCTTTTCCTTTTGGCAAGTGAAAGTTGAATTTTTATTTATTTTTATTTTTATTTCAAATTTTGAAACACATGTCATGATCTTGCAGCCCCATACAACTCTCATTATCTTCTTTCTTACCAGCTTGGTTGCAGCAATTATATGGCGACCTTGCTTGGTTGGATTGCATGGCGACCTCCAATGCATGCATGGCGACCTTCAACAGCTCGCGGGGACGGCATGGCGACCTACGGTTGCACTGTGGATTTTACCCTATCTCAGCAAATAATATGGAGATAGCATTATCTCGTGAAATAAATAATCCCAATACATTATCTCGTCGATTTAGCCGAGTTTGTCCATGGCGATCTACGGCAGCAAAATAGTCTACGCTGTTAAATATGGCAATATATATAATACATTTCATATTTATAAAAGTAACTAAAATTCTACATTTTGATCCTTTCCTCCTTGTGCGTCTCTTGCTCTACCATGAAATCAATTTCGCTAAGATAAAACAACCTCCAAAATTACCATGTGTTTTAAGTGATTATACATTTATAAGAATATATAAGCATTTATAGTAAATATTACCTTATAGTCATTCTATATTAATAAAAGAAAGTTACCACAAGTTGAAAACCCACCAATTAACCTGTAATTTTTCGTATAAATTGAATACAAATAAAATTTTAAGATGAACATAATTAATAAACTAAATAACTATAAAAAATTCTAATTTTAAGGTGAGCATCTATCAACTCTGAATCCCGTTTACATCCGCAAATAAATAAATATATTTTAATAAAAAATAAAATTTTAAGATGAACATTTGTCAACTCTAAACCTTATTTACATCTAAATCAATGGTAATTAAAGATATTGTTAATTGAAGTAAAACTATGTTAACTAATAATTAATTATATTATCATTCTGAGACAGAGAAATAACAACCAACGTGAGGGTTTTTTCTTCTTCTTCTTGTGTGGTTGATTTTTAGGCACTTGAGAATAGATCTCCATATCCTCTTATCCAATTCACCTCAATTCTCATGGAGAAATTATTTTATGGTATCGGTTTATTAAGTCATTTATAGTTCAAGCGAATTACATCCGTTAATTTTAAAATAACTTCTAAATAATTGTTCACTCTTTATTTACACGTAGAAGAAAGATGACGATTTATTTTAAAAAAAGATGAATAATATTATTGATTGAGACTATAAATAACGTGTTAATCCGGAATTATCTAATAAATTTTCATCCTCCTGAGTTGACTGCATTCTATATGTTATTATCGTGTAATTTGTGAAAGTTATTGGCTCGGTTTTTCTATTTTTCCACGGATTTAATGTCTTTGTCGGTTAAGACTAGAGGTCTAAATCAGTTTATGAATTAAAATATATATTAATTATTAGTCATAGTTTGCGGTCACAAATAATCTATTAATACTCATTAACTTAAATTAAATATATAATTAGAATATTTTTTTATAATCATTAACATAAAAATATTAGATAGTTGAAATCATATTAGGATTATACACGAAAAATATCTGAACTAGTCCATAAAACTCTAACAAAAGACTAATATGAACATGTGTGATTATATTGAAAAACGAACCACAATATGATATTAAATTTTTGAGAGACCATCGATAATCACAGATTAAAATAGAGTGTCGTGAGAAAATTAATTATAAACGTAAATTGTACATCCAAATCTAATCCAGTAATCTAAAGTATGAAAGATTAACATGATGATAAAGATGCATCATTTTGATTAGTCGAAACAATGTAAAACTTAATCTTAAGAAAATTAAACGAAAATAATAATCCAACGACAGATATAGTGAGATGTAGTTGTACCAAGGGAACAACGACCAAAAAGCATCGAGAAAGAGGGGAAACGGATAAGGCAAGTGAACAAAGGGGACCGGAGAAAGGGATCCGACTAATCACAACAACAGGTAATAACGCAGCTGGTAGAAGACTCACAGAAGTGTCGTTTTCAAAACCCTAGCAAAGACATTGACACAAGGATGGAGTCAAATGCCTCATTCTCATATCCATGTAGCCATGGACCCACTGAAAATCCCTGGATTAGAAAGCCAGCCAATGAGAAGGGAGAGATTAGGATCAACTTTACATCATCAACCAATCAAAATCCAGATAAGGCCTTGTGTGGACCCAAAGGGCAATTCAGTACTGTTTGAATGGACCCAAAAGTGCACCAAATGGACCCGGTACCACTTTACAAAAAGGTCTCGGAAAATAAAGCACCAAATTCAACATTCCCCTGTTGCTTCTTTGGCTTGATTGATGTTATAATCTCTATGCTTTTCGAATCCCCATATTTTTTTTTTAATTTAAGTTGAGAAAGATGGCGAACGCGGTTGTTGCTAGAAACGTTAGAGCTTGTGATAGCTGTATAAAGAAACGTGCACGTTGGTACTGTACTGCCGACGATGCTTTTCTTTGCCAGGCCTGTGATTCGTCGGTTCATTCGGCGAATCCGCTTGCTCTTAGACACAAAAGAGTTCGCCTGAATACTGATTCTGTTAAGTCCTCCGGCGATGATGAAGTTGTTCCGCTGGAGAGGTTTTCACCGTCGTGGGATCGAGGGTTTACGAAGAAGGCAAGAACAAGGCGACCCGTTCATACGAGAAGGAAGAACAACCAGGTTCCTGTTGTGCCGGAAGTCGGGAACGATGAGGTATCACATGAAGAGAATGAAGAGGAGCAGTTGCTTTATAGGGTGCCCATTTTTGATCCGTTTGTTGCTGAATTATGCACTTCGACGACGTCGAATGATGCAGCCGTGAGTGCGGTGGGAAACGACGTTGAAACGGCGGATGCTACCACCGCGACCGAGTCCAAAGCTATCTTGGGTTTTAATGGACAAGATGTGGATTGCACGCATGGGTTTTTCCCTTCCGAGATGGATCTTGCGGAGTTTGCCGCCGACGTCGAGAGTTTGCTCGGTAAGGGCCTCGAGAACGAGTCATTCGCAATGGAGGAGCTGGGGCTAATCGACTCCAAAGAGGATTTTAGAGAGTGTTCTTTGGGGAACAGTAAAGTCAAGGTTGAAGATGAAGCGAGTTTCGAAGCCGGTATGGCGAGAGAACCGTTTGAGGTAAGCTTCAACTATGATTCTCCGGCAAGCTGTGGCGGCGACGAGTTCGTAAAGCAAGAAGCGGCTACACTGAAGAAGAAGAAGAAAACACTTTTGAGCCTAAACTATGAAGCTATAATCTCAGCCTGGGCATCTCAAGGCTCCCCATGGACGTCCGGCGGCCGACCAGATTTCGACCCCGACGAATGCTGGCCTGATTGCACGGTAACTAAGCATAACCTTTCTACTTACTTTCTCTTACGCATCATTCGACATATAATTTAGATATTAGGTGTATTGGTGATTACAATAGTTGGTTTGAAATTTGCAGGGAAATGGTGGAACAGAGGTTCACCATAACTATAGTGGTTTGATCGGGCAAACGCCGGCAATGGGGGACGGAGGAAGAGAAGCGAGGGTGTCGAGATACAGAGAGAAGAGGAGAACGAGGTTGTTCTCGAAGAAAATAAGGTACGAGGTTCGGAAACTGAACGCCGAGAAGAGGCCTCGAATGAAAGGGAGGTTCGTCAAGAGAGCATCGTTTCTTGTTGGTTTTCCATTGCACAACAACTAGTCTACCTGCTTCTTCTTTTTAAACCATTCGATTCCCTTTTGTACTCGGCAGCACCGGCGGTGAAACTAATAGTGCTTAGTTCCTGGTAAATTACAAATATCATCACTAAACATTACTCTCTCTCTATTTTGCTCACTTAACTTCAAAAGTTTTCAATTTTCTCACTGAACTTTATACATTGAATTTTTTTCTCTCTGCCGTTAAATAGTTAACGACGTTAGAAAACGAAATTTTTCACCAAAACAACATAGTTTTGCATCTATATAAAGTCAATTTATAACGTCGTTAGTAAGAGAAATATTGAATGACAAAAACACTGGATATATCATGTTCAGTGATGAAATTGAAAATATTTAAAGTATAATGAGTGAAATAAAAGAGAGAGTAAAGTTTAGTTATCAAATTTGTATTTAACCTAAAAAAATAGTTATTAATCATTGTTATGAAACCTAAAAAAAAGATAGTTATTAATCATTGTTATGAAATTATCAGTAAATTTATCGTTTTATTATAAACTATTTATTAAATTTTATCGAACTATTACATATTGTTCATTAAATTTTATTAAAGTGTTACAAAATGATTTAATTTATCAAATTTTTTTCGTTTATTATAATATCACGATGATCATTTTATAATAATTAGATATATTTAATATAATTTTGTGATTTTTAAAAATTTAGCAACTAAAACGATGATTTGAACATAGTTTAATTACCTCTCATGTACATTCCCTAATGTTTTTGTCCCCGTTATTTTTTAATAATAAAGGAATTTAGATAAAATCTATAATTTAATGGGAAAATTGTGCAATGCTTAACAAGCAGCGATGAGCACCATTAACGACGAGTACCATTAATTTAATTTAATTTATAAAAGTTTAAATCCTAAAGGACTCAACATACAATTATAAATTAGTTAAAAATTTAAAGATAAATTATTTAAAACAAAGGATAAACTATTAGTGGATGATCCAAAAATTTAAGAATGAATGTCCAAAATTTTAATTTTCTATTCTAGAAAATAATGGGTATGCAAGAATTTTAATTTTTTTTTCTTTTTTCCTTAACACATTAAGTAAAATTTAATCATTTTTCCAAAATAATGGGATGCACATAGCCTCTATGGGGGCTTAATGCATCCGTCATCGTAAACTATACCAGTGACCACTAACTATTGCCCCTTTTCATTTTGATCAATATTTTTAAAATTTTTTAATTAGGTCTCTCAACTATTTAAATGCATTCAATTAAGCCAGTTACCGTTAATATTTAAGTAAGAAACTGACGTGACAGTTAAAATATTTTGTATAATTACACATTTAAACCCGATTGGGCCTAAAATACCACATTAGGTTGCTTAGGCAGCCCCTGATCCTCAAAACCTATTCATTTTCCTTTCAAATGTACTGAATGGTATCATAATAAAACATAAACAACAGTTATAAAAACATTTTTACAAAACCGGAGCTCCGTGACGCATGATTTAATAATACATCATGAAGTTTACAACTCAAATACATAAGTAAGGTTCTATGAATACACATGCCCAATAAAGCTACAGTACAATACTCTGTTGGAGATGCTGGAAGTCCTGCGGCGACGGTGCTCCATGAACTTCTAAAGCTACGAACCTGCCAACGGAAAACATCCGAATGTTGTGTTGAAAAGCCAGTAGTATAATCACTAATCTAGAGTAGCATATGAATTTCATAAACACAAGCATGTTGAAGACATGATACTAAGCAGTAGGTACAAGCATGATTCCCATCACTGCTACCTACGTAAGGTCCTCCAGTTCTATATCTCAAATATACGCTTCATGTTTCCCTTAGTCTTCACTAAGGGCCCCTCCATGAGTATAAAAGTACTAAGTCTCTAACCTCATTATCATCTTATAATGCATCACCATACCAAACATAATGACGGTACCCGATATCGCAGAGACATCAGTACTATCACTCAACAATAAGTAAGCATAGTGGTGTAGCTTGGGGTCACATAGTATCACAGAACTCACCTCTGTTTGCTTAATAGGGGTACCTTGGGTAGACCAGGGTCACACAACATCAACTTCTCCCAAGTATCTCAGGTGAGGTCCGGGTCACATAACATCGGCACCTCCCAAGTATCTCAGGTGAGGTTCGGGTCACATAGCATCGACACCTCCCAATACCTTATGCTAGGTCCGGGTCACATAACATTGGTACCTTGCCTGTCTAGTCTACTCCTCTTAAGTACTCGGAACGTGCTTGGATCACATAACATCAGTACCACGTTCAACTAGCTCTAAAGTGTATCTTGCACTGACTTGGATATATCCGAATATCCTATGCACTCGAGACGATCGTCCTACTGCTAAGTTAGTCATGTGTCCTTGTCGTTTCCTGAGCGACACACAAGGGCATAAGTCGTATGGAATCTTACCTTATAAGGCTTTTATGGTTATCACACAATTAATTTTATTATCTCATTATTATTATAAGGCTCTCATCTAGAGCTACGCCTTAACACACGTCAACTGATGCCACACTGGAGCAGGCGAAGTAGCTTGATCACTCGCTACTAAACTTATCGAAGTCAGGTGAGGTCATATCCCCTTCACCCGAGACTATCCCGCTCGTCCCCTCTCCTAAGACATTATGGGAGGTGTATTATTACTTATAAGGTATTTTACTCATTTCTACCTCCGAATAGGTCTATAAGCATTTCACAATTTCCCGATGATTATGGTGTTTATAGTTCACTGACTGATCCACTGGTTAGCCTGATACCTGACTCGGGCTCGTTACTGGGTAACAACACTCATAAAGCTCTTATCGTACTTCTCTCAATACCCCTTGAAGTAGTTGACATCTTATCCATTTTTGGTTCATTGACGTTCTCGAAGCACCACGCTCTTCGTCGATATTGAATCTGACATGTTTATCGTACCGCTCATCGGGTATCTCATGTATTAATCCTCAATCCCAACCATACGTATATGTCCTCAATTGAAGATACTCTAGTATATTATGCTTAATATGGTTACACCAGGTATAACTTACTCCTACAAGTGTTTTTAGGTATGTTGGGTCATTTATATCCCTCACAGACTAAGTCTTACTATTACGGATCGTCTTTAGATCTTACGGATCTTAAAGGGGTCAAAAAAACATTCAACAACACTTAGGATCTTTAATGAATGCAAATCCATCCTTGTTCATTAAGCAAAACAAATAAGGGATCGATCCTTTTGAAAAGGAGTCGATCCTTTTAAAAAGGGGTCAATCCTTTACTGGAAGAAACTTTGGGATGTATCCCTTTGATCGAGGGATAGATCTTTTTCTAGGAGTGAATTGCTTAAGTTGAGGAATCACTTAAAAATCACTCCAAACACATGGGTTGGTTTTTAAACTTATTGTAAAGTTTTAGTAAGTTATTTAGGGTCATTAGGCATCATTAAAACATGTTGTTAACACCTAAAACGTGATTTGGTTGAGAAATCAAAGATGAACCCTAAAATGCTCAAATCATCAAACCCTAGCAAAAACCATGGATTTATAAAACCTTAATACTCCAAAGGATTAGAAATACACTACCATGATGCTTGAATCCTGAAATGAACCTCATTTAGTTAGAAATCAACCTCCTCAAGGCTTGGATAGAGAAACCCCCTCTTTTTCATGCAAACAAAACCCAAAGATGAAGCAAGAAAAATAAGTTTGAATTTATAAATTTCACAGGTCCACTTACCTCTCGGTAAACCCGAAACTACTAACCCGTAATTTGGGGTGTTACAAATGTTACTTATATTCTATCATTTGGTCATAATTTTAATAAATTAAAATAAACTTAATCCTCAAATCTTTAATTTTAAAAGATTTCAAAAGTTACAACATATTCTATATTTATAACAAAAGAGAATTTTACTAGACATTCTATTTATGGTTCTCAGAAGCATTTCGTCAATGATACCATAACCTCTTTTGGTTTTAAGGAAAATATAGTTGATTAGCCCATGCATATAAATTTCGCTGGACAAAATTTTTATCCTACTACTATTTGTAAATGACATTCTACTAGAAAAATGTGATATAATCTAACCTGTAAAACTAAGAAATTTATATCCATTAAATTTCTAATAGAAGAATATGACATATATTTCTTTCACGTTTGACACATTCTTTCTTTAAATAAAAATTCATCTCCTACCATAAAGTTTATGTCCATCTTTAATAAAAGTGTATACTGATAAGATCTCGGTGAACTTAGCATGGAAAATTTTGCACTAAGAGATTAACCTATATCAAATGGGCGATAAATTTAGTTTGCTTTAAATTTAATATAATAAATTATTGCTTGAGTTATTCAATTTTTTTAGAAAAAGTTTTGTTAAATTTTGTTTTGTAATAATATAGAATATGTCCTAACTTTTAAAATCAAATAAATCAAAATAAAAGTTAAATTTTTTTTTGGATAATTTTTGTTTTATTACCCAAGAGCAGTGAACTGCTTCAAAAGAACAATGAGTGTTTGGAGTACAAGGATTGTCCTAAATCAAAGATGGAAAACAAGCACAATCAAATTATACCCCATTGGTTACAAAGATTAATATTCACAACATCTAATCTATTGATAGTCCTCCCCCTTAGATGAAATCCAACAGTTTCCTTGATAGCTTTGAACATAACATCAACAGTGGAAGCTTTACCTTGGAAGATGTTGTTGTTCATTTCTTTCCAGATTGTGTAAATTAGAGCATTGGAAGAGATTTTAATTAAAGAAGTGAGGAGGGATTTGCCCTTCCAAGTAGCCATAGCCCAATCATAGAGAGTTTCCCAAGAAGTGTGCCTAAGTTGAATACCATTGATGTCAAAGATAGCAGACCATAAAGCAGTAGCAGTCGGACATTCAAAAATAAGTGATTTCGAGTTTCAGATCCAACTCCACAAAGAGTGCATTGAAAGTCATTAACTAGCCCCATTCGATGCAGCCTTTCTTTTGTAGGAAGGCGATCAAGGAAAGCCATCCATGC